GATTTGCTTCGAAGGGGGAAAAATGGGTGGGGGTGGGAGGGGGTCAGCCAATGACATGACAGAGAGTGCTCCTTGGATGACAATTGCATTTTATATTGCTAAGTGAGCAAAAGCATAACCAAGATTAAGCGCTAATGATGGATTAGCTGTCACATGTTTGCACATGGTTATTTCCCATCAAAGTTTATGCTGTTGGATGATGGTCTTGCCGTTGTTCACTTCTATGAGTTGAGATAGTATGTGCATTCCGAAGTGTTTGACAGTATATAAGGAACCCAAAGACCAAATTTTTTTTGCTTACATTTATGATCAAATCCAGATGAACACCTTATTGTCATATCTAAAAACAGAATGACAATGTCAAGGAGAAAGTTTCTTGGATCAATGTTAATATGATATCTTTGGTCAAAATGAGTCAGTTTGAGTCAATAACCCGTCTTTCTATGACATCTGATTTCTTTCAGGGCTTTGTTATGATACCAATGAACCTGTTCTCAAACATGCTTTTGAGCAACATGGTGAGATAATTGAAGGTAATGTGCGGATGCCAATAGTTCACTTTGTTATTATGACTTGCTTTTATATGGAGGTATAAGCTTATCCACTTTCAGTAAAAGTAATATGCGATCATAAAAGTGGAAAATCCAAAGGATATGGGTTCGTGAAGTTCACTTCTGAAACTGCAGCTAGCAAGGCTTTGAAGGAAATGGACGGTCAGGTAAGTGCAGAATAGCATAAGTTCTACTTCTATTCTTATATTTGCTCTTACAGTTTGTTTATTATGCTTCTCAGTTATTGGATGGCAGAAATATTCGTATCAGTTATGCCCACAAAGAATGACATTGAGGGTTCCAAATCTCATCTTTCCTCGTACGTCTCTAGATTCTCCACTTTTTGTTATATTTGTTTATTGCTTACTCTTACACAAGCATATATCTTTTAATTAAAAGAAGTTACTGAATGTTCTGCTGATTGTGTTCTTCCTGAGAATTTACTGAGAATTTTCCATATCATGATATCGTGATCTTGATGTACACTTGCCTATGTCTTCATTGCAATATTGAATACCTTCAGCTATGTTCATTAATACTCTGTTTAAACCAAGTACAACCACCCTAAGAATTCTTAAATGACTTGAAAATAAGTAAGGTTTCATTTTGTGACGTAGGTGTGTGCAAGAACTAGCGATTTCAGCCGTGAAAGTTGGTACTGAAGATACTTGTTGAGGATTCTTCAAGGTTAATCTTGATTCTTGAGTTTGGTCAAGGGAGAAACAGCCACCGAAAAGGTCCTTTGCCATGATTTTGCATCGCGTGTCAGGTTCAAATCAAACTTTAATTGATCCATTTTCTTTTTCCCTTGTACTACGCATATTCATGTTTTGTGTAGGACACAGGATTGTTAAGGAATTAATTTTACAGCTGTTACAAGGGAACTATGATTGTGTTAGCTTGTAATTTTTTAGGGAGAAAAGCTCTTCTATCAATAATATATAGAGCCATTCAACTTGCTCAAAACTCTGAACGGAATCAAAAGAATTATTTCATTTGCATCACTTTGATTGGATTTGGAGAAGTCCAGATCATATTAAAGTTAAATGCTGCCTTCTGTATTTGCACATTGTTTTAAAAAGACCAATTCTTTGACATTTGACCCCTTGTCCTTGGCTAACATTTTGTATGATTTTGCAAATTTTCCTTCCCAGAGTTTTATCAAATGCTACAACGGAACTATTTTGGTCGTAATACTACCATATCTTCCAACCCATGATAAGTCAAACCAAACACGAAAAGGAAGATCTTTCACAAAATTTGAGCAAAATAATACTCGTTGATGAAATTAGGAGAAACTAATTCCTTTCGCCTGATGAAGATATACTATGAAGTGAGGTGAGGAAACAACAGACTTTGCATCCAGTTACACATGATTAGGGGTGGCAAACGGGTCGTACCGAGTCGGATATGGGCGGGTCAAAATGGGTAATACATAAAACGAATAAATTATCCGACCCGACCCATATTTAATACGGATAAAAAACGGGTTAACCGGCAAATAATATGGATAACCATATTATCCATGGTGTCTTGAATATGATCACTTTTGGGAGAATTCCTAGTCTCCCAAACTTGAAGAACGCCCAATTTGAGGCTTTACAAATACATAAGTTAAACCCATTAGTTATCCATTGGTTATCTATATTCTAAGTAGATAATATGGTTCTTATCCATATTTGACCCGTTTTTAAAAAGTTCATAATCCAACCTATTTTTTAATGGATAATATGGGTGGATAACTGCTTTCTTTTAATCGTTTTGCCACCACTACACATGATGAATACAGAAGCAACAAGCTATTTATTCCATGGCCTTTAGCATAGTCAACATATTGGCATACTTCAGGGTTTTGCATAGATAGGTGACAAACTTGATAGGTAACGGTGAATGATACATGCTATCATAAAAACTTGTACATACATTTTGAGCCGAGTCTGTTTTAGTACAACAACAACTATGGCTCAGTCCAACTATAAAAGTAGCCAATTTATGAAGAATCCTCACGATCCTTGCCCTTAATCTTCCGGAAATAAAAGAAAAAGAAAAAAAAGAAGAACAAAATAAAACAAACTCAAAGAGCATAGAGAAAGGATTGAAAAGAAGAAGAGAGATGGATTATTGAACATTTACAACTTTACAAGAACCTAAGAAAACAACGACAATGTAGTATCCTGAAGAAACTTGAGATTAGCTATCATACAATCAATATAATTAGCTAACCTTCAATTACCAGAAAGAGATTTTGAGAAATGAGAACTTTTTGGAGCCTCAGATCTTTACTTTGCCAAATCTTGTATTGTGATAAAATATAACCAAGGAAGTATTTTCTCAAGACTAAAATACTCTTATCCAAGAATATAATAAGGTTTAAAGCATGACATAAATGTATTAGAGAAGTTAGATAATTGGTTCAGTTGCCTCTGTGTACCAAAAGACTATGTTGCTTGGATCCTCAAAAAATGTAGCCGCACCCGTGTCGGATCCAAAAGAAGGAAGAAAAATCAAGAATCATGATTTATTCTTTGCGATCAATGGGAGATCGACTAGGATGTCACACATCGTATTGGGACGGGATGGATGAAATGGAGGCTCGTCTCCGGTGTTCTGTGTGATAAGAATATGCCATCAAGACTTAAAGGGAAGTTCTATAGAGCGATGGTCAGACCGACTATGTTATATAGGGCGGAGTGTTGGCCAGTCAAGAATTTCCATGTCCAGAAGATGAAGGTGACTGAAATGAGAATGTTGAGATGGATGTGCGGGCATACCAGGTTAGACATAATTAGGAATGAAGTTATCCGGGATAAGGTGGGTGTGGCCTCTGTGAAGGACAAGATGGGGAAGGCGAGACTTAGATGGTTCGGGCATGTGAGTAGGAGAGACACAAATGCACCGGTGAAGAGGTGTGAGAAGTTGGCCTTGGAGGGCCAACAGAGAGGTAGAGGCAGGCCGAAGAAGTACTGGGAAGAAGTAATTAGGCAGGATATAGCGTTGCTCAGCTTACTGAGGATATGACCATGTATAGGAAGGTGTGGAGGTTGAGAATTAAGGTAGAGGGTTAGGTAGCCCAGCGCTGTCCTTATTTGTTACAGTAGATTTAGTACACCACATAGTGTCTTTCGTGTATTTTCGCATTTCTAGACTTCTGGTATTACTTATGGTTGCCTTCGCTTAGGTTTTCTAATTGCACTACTTAGTGTAGTTTTGTGTTTTCGCTTGATTTTACAATTGGTTTGCTTGTCATTGCCCCTTCCCTTTACCGGAAACAACCTCTCTGCCTTCTTAAAGGTAGGGATAAGGTTTGAGTACATACTACCCTCCCCAGATCCCACTTGTAGGAATATACTGGATTTGTTGTTGTTGTTGGTCAATAGTAGACAAATTATGATAGGGAAGGCCAGGATGTCTCTAGTCTGGTTGTTGTGCTGACTTAGTAGAATGGGATGTTGTAGGGGGAGACAACATGGGACAAGTGGAGAATCAAGTTGAGGATATCATTTTATCTGATAAGAGGAGCTTGAGACAAGAAAAAGAATCATTTTCACACATAATATAGACATTTTCTAAGAACTGTTCTACAAGTTGCTCCTCTGTTGCTTCCTTTTTGGTTTTTCCATTTGGAACTTCTTTTAACTTCTTTTTCCAACTTCGCATTTCAGATACTTGGCTGTAGGACCATTATGTCACTTATCTGAGTTTGAACACAAATTATAATATCTTGACCATTGATTTTAGACGAGTTTAGTTTCACATAAAAGATAACTGCATGTAAGTATATATACTAAATAAGAAGTTGAAGATCTGTATAGGTGATCCCAACTAGAAATGAGTGCTCATTTGAAGACTCTTAGAGAGTGTTTGACTAAGCTTATAAGTTGGTCAAATTGACTTATAAACACCTTTTGGCTTATCTACGCTTTTGGTAAACATCTAAAGTGCTTATAAGCTAAAATCAGTCATAAGTCATAACCTGGTCACCCTCAACTTATGGCTTTTCAGCTTATAAGCACTTTTAGTTTGACCAACACTTTTACTAATTTATCCTTAATAACATTTTCTAATTCACAAAATACTTTTCTCAAAATAAATTTCTTGACTTTCTCTTCATTCCATATTCGTTGTTAATTCTTTTCTTTACAAAGAAATTTTTTAATTTATAATCTTTTGAAAAACATTCTAGGGTATTTCATTCATTTTAACAAAAAATAGCTTATCAATACTTTTTTATCAAACAAATCAACTGCTTATTATCAGTTTCAGCACATCTATCCAAACACGTAAATGCTTATTTTAAAAATCAGTTTCGGCACTTAAAAAAACTTTTCAGTACTTCAAGCTTATCAGCTAATCCAAACGGGCTCTTAGTATGTTAGAGGTATAATCACTAGAGTATGTTAGAGAATTCCTAGTGTTAGATAAATCTAAAAGTACGAAGTATTGAAATATTATGGACCCAATGAAGCATTTATGATAATGAAGATTCACACAACCGACCTCAACTAGCTTGGGTATTGAGGCATAGTTGTTGTTATTGTTAATGTAGTAACTTGGAAATAAGGCAGACGACATGCTAAAATAGGTTAAAATACAGTAATAATATAAAAATTCTTTACATCATATAGATTAAATCCTTTTAGATAGTAAGACCTTATTGCACAAGGAAAACCGTTGAAATGGGAGAGTCAAGTGATCTAGGATTGATCAAATTTGCCTTGTTATGTGAGAAATGAATGAATCCAACTCCATGTTCTTAATACCACCTTCTGCTACTGATATTTTAAGAGCTGCACTCAAATCCATTGCTCTGCTCCTCATTTCTTCTCCTTCTTTAGACACCATTAATTTTTCCACTGCTGCCTGCACCATGGCAGATGTTACCACCTCGTGCCTACGAGTCCAATCCTTAACGACTATGCCAACTTTTAAAATCTTCGTGACCAATATAGTATTTCGGGGTTGATCCGAATGCATTGGCCACGCTGCTATTGGCACGCCCATGGAAATGCTCTCCATGCACGAATTCCATCCACAGTGACTCATGAAACCGCCAACGGAAGAATGTGCCAATATTTCTAACTGTGGCGCCCAATCCCTTAACACGACTCCCCTTTCTTTAACTCTCTCTTCGAACCCTTTTGGTAGTTCGATCTTTCTTGAATGATCTTTCGCGAAAACATTCCCTTTATCGGCATCTCTCAGTACCCAAACGAACTTCTGCTCGCTTTTCTCCAATCCAATTGCCATCTCCTTGATCTGTTCATCCGAAAATGAAGTTGTCGTGCCAAAAGACACGAAGATCACGGAGTTTTGTCCTTGTTTGTCTAGCCAACTTAGACATTTATGTCGTTTGTTACTACCTTTGGTCCCATGTTGTACTAAAACAGGATTGAATGGTCCAAGTGCCCACTGCTTTGTGTTATTACTTATCTGTTCCTTGGACAGCAAATCAAGAAAAGGACCTTCTATCACTTTGCATGTGTTGTAAATCCTTCCTGAATTGAACTTCAAGTAATCGTATTCATTTTTAATAAATTTCTCAAATTCAGGACTAAAACAACCTTCAAGTGAAGGAACATCTTTTAGCATATTAGCATCAATGTTAAAAGGCCTGCCCATATTCTCCCATATGAACAAGAACAATGTGAAAGCTGACACACTGTGAAAAGCATAGGCTTCTGCATTTGGTAAGTACACAAAATCTTGAACCACTGACCCCATTAGGGAGTCATGGATGATAACAATTCTCTGGCTTTTCGACGAGAGGACACGAAGAAGTTTGGCCACGGGCTTTCGTAGATGAGACGTTGCCTCGAATGATGGTTGAAGATGGCAAGGAAATTTGATGGAAGCGTTCGGATTAGGAGGGGGAGATATGAAAAATGGTGTTGAGAATTCATGAAAATAAATGTTGACTATAGAAAAAGGATCATGAACTCTTAATTTAGCTTGATGAGTGTGTGTCTTGGTTGTAACATAATGAACTTTTATATTATAGGAAGCAATGAGTTTACATAGTTGAAGAAGTTGATTGAGATGTCCTTGTGCTGGAAAAGGGACTACAACTACTACAATATCATGATTTTTTTGGCCATGG